CGACGATGGCAGAGTCATCCGAGAACTTTTGCAGGTGGCAGTTTGATGTGTAGTGGGATTGATTTGAGGGATTTCATGCATTAGAATGTCCAATATTACTCTTTAAATGTCCCTCAGTCACTAATATTGAGTATGACCACCCCTGACACGGATCAATGCGTAAAGACATCATGGCATACTGTCCACCAGCTTGTTGATGGTGTCAATGGGCAGGAGGTCCAACTCTTCAGTCAGATCCTGAAGTCAGAATTGGTTTCACCTGGTAACTGGGACTCAGAATCAGTGATTATGAAGTTAAATAAGTTAGTTGGATAAAAAGTTTAAAAAGCTGTCTTCTGTAGTTCTCTGAAAAGCGTTCAGGGTGAGCGCTCTGTGCGCTGTTTTGGTTGCAGACTTTGCGGCAGAGTGAGTGATCTTACCGCTGTACGGCCGTAAGCTCCCTTAAGACAAGTGAAACAAGAGATTAATAATTGTGGACTAGAAAGGACAACGAAAGGAAAGAGACAAGAAAGAGAGCACTCCCATCAGGACAGAAATGTTCCATCATAGGATGAAGTGATCACTCACAGCTACTTTGCAGTGATTCCAAAAGGACAAATGGACCTAATTCATGCTCCCTACAGAATAGCAGAGCCACCAGATGGCCTCATTGCGAGGGTCAAGCTTTCAGGCTTTGACTTTGATACTTCACTAGTCTGGAAGTTCCCTGAATGAACAGTGCCAGTACTTTAATATACATGTTTTACCACATGAGGGCAGCAGAGTTATGTTGCTGTTTCGCAGTTGGACGTCTTTCTGTTGCCTGTGATACAGATAATAATCGTTAAATATGGTCTTCTGGGTGTAGAAGGAAGCTCCAAATATGTAACACTAAGCAGAGACTATTTTGTTTTTAAAATCATATGTATCTGCACTTAAAGAACAAAACATCGGTTCCATTTTAAAGTGTCACAGCCAAGATCGTACATTTCTTTATATACTGTATAACACTGTTGAGTTACAGACTGGAGTAATAGTGAAGCATGGAACAAATTTCATATTAAAGAATTCATTTTCAACATATCAGCTGTTTGAATTTTCGACAGTGATCCCTTTTCTTGACTTTTAATTGCACTGCAGTCACAAGGATATTTATAAAAATCTGTTGTAGTTTGAAGGAAAAATAAATGACAGGCAGTTGTGGCCTATTTTGTGGCCTTTATTGTCATCAATAAGTAAACATGGTGTGTGTGTGTGTGTGTGTGTGTGTGTGTGTGTGTTCTGTCACGTACCACGGAAGAGCTGCCCTCCCCCAGTGGTTCCTATGTAAAACTGCAGGTCTTCCTGTACTTCAACTCGTCTGGGTGTTGGTCAGAGCCACTGATCCACATGTGTTGATGTCTGACTGTGTCATAACAGGGTTTGGAATGATAATGATAGGGAGCATTTCTTTACTTATAGTTTTATGTGTTCTCTTAAGATGAAGGTAAAGCGTTCTGTGTTTTGTGGAGTGTTTTTGGAGCTGCCTGAAGGGCTCAGGAAGGTTTCATTTTGATTATCACTGAGCCGGCAAAGGCAATCATCTACTGTGGATGCTGAATGCAAATGTTAAGCAAACACAGAATACAGATGAATGTAGTTCGTAAAGAGCAAGTTCAAACATGTATAGTATTGCAAAGGTAAATGCAAAAATGGACAAGTGTGAAACCAGCATCGATCTAATATTACTGATTTTCATTAATTGCATTGTATAACACACAGGGAAAACAGATTTGTTGCCTTTTTCATTTCATGCAGTCTGCCTGTATGAGCTGGTGTCAGACACAATAGCTGCTGGAAGGTTGCATCATCAGCTAATTGTGGCCCCAGAGATACCTTCCTCTGGCAGGCGAGTTAAAGGGGCAACCGTGTGTGTGTGTGTGTGTGTGTGTGTGTGTGTGTGTGTGTGTGTGTGTATGTGTGTGCGACTGAAAGCCCACTGCCTCTGCTGCTGCTGTTGCTGCTGCTGATTCTACCGCTGCTGCAATCACCTGCAATCCTTTCAATGCCTCGCCACTCCTGCCGGTTGCCTAGAGACGGGGTCGCCTAGGCCACAGAGCTGATGATACTGGGAGGGGATGAGGGGAAGAAAGATGGAGATACAAGGAAGGAGGAGTGGGTTCAACAAGAAGACGGGAAGGGAAAGAAAAGGCAGTAATGGAGGAGAAGCTGTAGTGTATTGGGAAGTCACAGGTCCTGCTGCGGTGCTCTTGAGCACACATGAGGGTTTGGTCCTCAGCTCACAGCTGGTGTCAACAGGTCAGACTCCAATGTCCCTGGCAGACAGACAGAGCATCTCAAAAATGTGCATTCCTAATTTACCACAGGCTTGCATCATAGGAACATCATGTTTTGATGGCTGTAAAAAAAAACAAAAAAAAACAAGAAAACATTGATGGATGCAAAACATCAGTAGCAACACATTTTCACATTTCTTAACAAATCAAAAGGGCTCAAGCAAAGAAATAAAAACCATAACCCAGGCTCCATGTAGTAGCTTGTAGTCTTGGAAAGTGTATTTGTTCAAATTTTAGCCTAAAATAAGAAACCACATCGTTTACATCAAATAGTGTCTATCCTTTAATCTGTGGATCACAAAAAAAAACAAAACAACTGTTTTATCTTAACAGCAATAAATAGATATATGTTTGTATTTCTTCCTAAAACAAAAAACTGCATTGTCTTTTATTGTGTTTCCTTAATTTTTTTGTTTTGTTTTTTGTTTTTACAGATCACGCGTTTCTAAATTACCTTAGTTTGATTAAACAGGATTAAAACTCTTAAATGATTAAATAGTTCCATCCATCCATTATCTATACACCTCTTAATCCTCACTAGGGTCGCGGGGGGCTGGAGCCTATCCCAGCTGACTTAGGGCGAAGGCAGGGGACACCCTGGACAGGTCACCAGTCTATCACAGGGCTACACTTAGAGACAGACAACCAAACACACTCACATTCACACCTATGGACAATTTACAATCACCAATTAACCTCAGCATGTTTTTGGACTGTGTGGGAGGAAGCCAGAGAGAACCCACGCTGCATGGAGAGAACATGCAAACTCCACACAGAAAGATCCCCCACCAGGATGCGAACCGGAAACCTTCTTGCTGCGAGGCAACAGTGCTAACCAACTGCGCCACCTTGCAGCCCTTAAACAGTTCCCTGAAAATGAATTCCTTGCTTAAGACCTCGGCAGATTTGTTTCTAGTGCTGTTTAAATATATAAAATGCTTCAAGTCATTAATAACAAAATATAACCCAACCAAACCATGATAAAACATTAAAGGGATCTTTGAATTATTTTGGCTCTCCTTCAAACCACTAACCTCAAAGAACCTTTTTTTTTTCTGTGTGTGAGCAGCAGGTGATGAATTACATACACAACATGTGGAAGGGAGGGAGGGAGGGAGGGAGGTGGGACAGCATCAGCAGAAGACCCACCGCTGGGTTGACACAGCAACAGTGTCAGTGACTGCTCACCTGTGCACAAACCTGTCTGCTGGTGTTGGTGTGTGTGTGTGTGTGGGAGAGGGAGAGGGAGGTGAGCTGCTAATTGATTTCATCCCTAAGGAAAGTTATTTCATCATTTGTGTTTTTTAGCTTGTCTTATGACAGCCTTACAGCAGTCAGTCTGCACGGAGACTCACAGCCCACTGGGAAATTATTAGCTGCTGAATGTGTGTGTGTGTGTGTGTGTGTGTAGGTGAGGGCAACTAAGAATGATAATGCACATGAGAAGGAAGTGATGAAGGAGCTGTAAGATATTACACAGGGATGAGTTAGGATGGAAAAGCAAAAATATATGCCCAGATAGTATTTAGAATAATTTGCAGACAGTTAACTAATTTGTAACATAAGCAGTAACAAAAACACAACATCACAACATCACAAGAGACTACATACACATTCTGAAAATCACTTAGCAAAGATTTGGTCAAAAGTAATCTGGGATAAAAGCAAGCAAAATGTGGTTGAAAGTTGAACCTTTTATGAATGCTCAGGTGACACATCTATTGTTCCAACATCTGAATGTAGTCCTTACATTAGGCTGTTAAGTCATTACTTCAGTAAAGCTTACATGCCACGTCTGAACCTCCAGTTTGTGTAACAAGGTTTTAAAGTGGACATCGAGACATCCTTTGACTTGCAAATCAGTGCTTACACAGAAAGTCATGAGTGAAGCACAAACAAACCACACAATGGTGTTAGCTGCATAGATGAAAGTGACACACAGGTGAATACTCCCATGAATGTGTTGGGAAGGTGACACCCGGGCTAATCACACTGGGTGGGACCCAAACGGGTGAGAGGTTAAACTGGTTTGTTTGACTGCAGCTGGAGGTGTGTAACACTGTTACTGTACTGTGTTATGCAGCATTTTCAGCATAAAAGAAGAAAAAGATTTGTGTTGTTTGCCTATTTGTGGGACCCTGCGCACCGTCTCCTCTTCCCCTCACTAGAACCAGACACTGAACATGGAATAAACCTTTCATGTTAAACCTTTAGTCAGGTTGTGACAACTTCAAAACACAAAACTGTGGCATAAAGTGTACCAAATTTTTATTGATTCAACAAAGCACCTAAAGATCAATTTGCTACAGACAATTTTCTGATGTGCATGATGTTACCATGAGAAGCTGAGTGAGTCACAAAGGACAAAGTGTTGTGAATGTTTCGGGCCATATAATCATAAAAACACACATCTTTACACTCGGCACTAAAAGGCTGTGATTATATGCAATAGGAAAATACAAGACAAAAACAGAAATATCAAGGTGTAAAACATTTTAACAGCAAGTCAAAAATTGCACCAGAACTTGATTTGTATCCAGCATGCTTAAATAAAACCTTTCAAAACACTTTGTACTGCAAAGCTCTGCTTTCTTATGATATCATCATTTTCTACTTTGAACTTCTACACTCACCACTGTGGTTTCTTCACACATATAAAAACATATACAAACCAACAGTAAAAAATAAAAAACAAGCTCCATAGGGCATAAATAAGTTACATTACTAGGTCAGTATATAAGGCATACAAAAACAACATTCCACACAGTAATGCTGAGGTTAATATGGGAAAGTGTCAGTCAGTGCAACAGGTACACAATGTAGAAATCCTTTTGAGGTACAAGGTTGTTCAACTTGACACCAAACATTTAGATTGGCCTAACATCAAACATCTAATTGGCCTACATCAAAATCACTGTTGCATTGCAACCAATCACAAGTTGTCATCCAAAAAGGAAATGAAACATTCAGTGTTCAGGACCTTTAATTCATTCCAAGGCACGGTCCAGGTATGCCTGCATCTTCTCCCGGTGTGACTGGGTGAAACAGTGGCCAATGGCCTGCTCCGTTTCCCTAATGCGCCTCCGGAAGCGGTCGCGGTCTCGTGCCATTTCTTCCCAGTGTCCTTTACGAGATGCCTGCCGAGCAAATGGCCAGGTCCACATGACATGAACATGGACAAGAGGAGAAAAACGCACCTGAAATCCAGAAGAAATGAAAACAAAAAGTCAGTATATTTTGTTCATCAACAGGATGTCTATGTACTCTTCTTTTGGGATTATAAGCTTCTTAGAGGAATTAAGAGTCACTAAGAAATATGGTTATCAGGTTTTTCAGAGCTAAGTTTTATAAAGACCAACAACTTTGTGAAAACACCCTGCACTTTCCAACACTAATCCTGACGAGACAGACATGAAAATAGAGTAAACCAGCTAATCATCTTTCTACCTCAGGGTGTATTTGCTGACAAAGATGTACACTGTGTCTGTTGACCAGCCTTGCAATACTGCTGCAACTTCATTCAGTCCATGTGGAAGTTAAACTCTCTGCTGACTCACTGGAGTCACATGACACCTCGTCATGACGACCAACAGTGTTGCTAACTGACAACAAACAACAACTCAGCTTAACACACTGCATTACAGTGTGTCCACTGTGGCAGGAATTAACTCTTATCTGTGACTTTGACTCACAAGAGGTCGCAACAGTCAGCAGAGGACACTCCCATGTGATATTAATGGACCAACTTTAAATATGTGATCACATGTCTGCTGTATCTCCTAAGGCCAAAGAAACTGAGGAGTGTTATCTGTCCGAAGGCAAAGCTGTCTGTCTTAGATCTGAAAACTGACACTTAAAAAAAATTCATGCTTGCACTTGATATGTATAAACATGTCTGTATTGCTTTTGATTTAAGCCATTTAGTGTACAGCTGATGTCAGAGTTACATTTTAAACCCCTTTTCTTGATGTATTGAAAGACTGTTTCAATGTTCTGTGGTCTACTAAATAGACTTCTTTATTTCAAGCTCCACGTGGTTTCCATTAGAGCTTTATGTAATTCTATCTTAAAGTTTGACTATAATTTGTTAATAGATAATGACCTTTTTCTGAATGGTGCTGGTCTTGTTGTCCTTCTCCACTGGGGGTGTTTGTCCAGGTCTTTTCCATGGCACCATGGTTTTGTCTGAATGGCAGTGATGCTGAAACTGCCTCTCTGGCAGGATGGGCTTGGTAGCTCTAGATTTTCTGGAAGCTTTTCCCCGTTTCTTGCCCTTTGCAGGTGAATTTTTCTCAAAGTGGACATCAAAGAAATCTGAATCGTCTTGGTGGTGGAGTGTTGCTGGTGTTGAGGAGCTCTGGAAACAGGCTTGGAAGTTCAGAGGGTGGTATGGGTCATCCTTTTGGGAGAGACACTTCCACAGCTGTTCTTCTTCATCCTCAGATGAAGGAGGAAAGCTGCTCTCCTTCTCCTCAGTGTCAGTCTCAGACTTGGAGGGAGGTGCAGGAAGTGAGGCCTGTTGTCTAGAGACTGTGGTGGTGACTTGAGGAGTGTTACTACTGACTGTACACGCAGTGAAGCACATGGGATTGTAAGGGTCTTCAGGACTGCTAAAGAAGTCCCAGAGCCTCTCGCTTTCCTCCTTGTCGATGTCAGGGGTCGAACCATCTGAGCTGGCCCAACTGCTCCAACTGCTCTCACTATCAGAGCGGCTGACCCAGATATTCAGGCCTTGAGACCCCAACATCTCCTCGCTGGCCTTGCTCACTGACATAAAGTCAGAATCACTACTGTCTGGCGTTTCACTTTTACTTTTCCCCATGTTTGGGCTAGTTGAAATGCAGGCTGAGAAAAAGAAGGGGTTGTAAGGATCACTAGATTTTGACAGAGACTCCCAAAGCGCCCTACTTTCCTCACTCTCAAATTCTGCTACGTTCTGGTCTTCCTCGCTGCTCCAGTGAGAGCTTCTCTCCTCCTCTGAAGTGTCCTGTTTGTAAACTTTCTCCTTCCTTGTATCCTGGTTGAAAACCTTCTCACTCTTCTTATGGCTGGTGTTGTTTGGACCAGAACTGTCACTGCTTGATACAAAGATGTTCCAGTCGCCGTTGAAGCCCATTTTCCAGCTGGATTGGTGTCCAAGAAAGATGCCCTCTTCTTTACCAGCTGTTCTGGACACAAAGTCGTCCACAAGTCCGCAGCACAGATCGTCAGCACGCAGACTGGACAGCAAGGCCTCAGCAGTGGATTTCCCAGCGAAGGGGTCGCCAACGTCGGCACAGAAGTTAGAGAGGGGATTTGAACCACCAACCATGACTCCGTTATCACCGTCAAACAACGAGGAGAACAGGAAGGATTCAGATGGGTTTGCTGCTGTGGTCATGTGCTGGATGTGTTGACCTGTCTCGTCTGTGATTCGAACGTGAACTTCGAACCTGAACATCTGGAAAACTGAAAAACAAAAAAATAGTAGATTAAAATTCAACAGAGATTGATTTAAAAGCAAAGTATTTGAGACAGTAGTCATGATGTTAAGCTATTTTACTCTGTCAGATGGTATTTTCGAGTGGGGTATTATTGTACTATATTTGTTGTATTAATCCAGGTGAAGAGTCACATTCGCTTTGCTTTGTCAAAGCTGACAGCAGAATAGTGCTTCCCGATTCGTAAACTGTTGACAAAGACTCATTGTGTGGTGCTTAAGGACTTGATAACTATGATGATTAAGAGCTGGCAGACAGAAGGTGTATACGACAGAAGTTAGTCACTGTCGTATTTAAAATTAATAAGTGGCCACTACAAACACACAGTTGGTGAGACTACCAGGGTTAACACAATTTACTGCATCGTTAACAATAGCTACTATGTGACCTGAGATAAAGTAGTAGTCCTTCACCCACTCAGCTGGATTTTGGACTTTCCAGTGACAGTAAACACATCACAACGGTTAAACTTCGCCACGATCATGGAGGCGTTGTATTCAAATGAACAACGCGGGAGAGACAAAGTACCAACGGTTTAATGTTCAGTGCTTACCTGACATGAAAGAGTAGTAAATGACTTGAACCAGCAGCCGAAGCTGTTCCCACAACACAGTCAGCATCTGTTTAGTCCAAGGCAAAAGCGCCATCCCTCCGCTGCCGAACCTCTCCATCGCCGTCCGCTCGGAGCCTCTCACGGTACCAACAGTCGTGGCCATTTTTTACGTCTGTCTTCCCCTCCTCGGATTACTACGGCGTCTGCGTTGAGAAAAACTCTCACGTATTCTGGTATTCCTCGTCGAAAACCAACGGATTTCGCGTATTTGTCGGTGACAGAAAAGCGTCGATGTGCTGTCGCTTCATTTTTCGGCAATTCCGTGCCATTTTTTGGATCTCCTTCGTCAGATAATTTCGTGTAGTTGCTCCATGTTTCACCGCGATGTTATCGTTATTGTTGTAGTAGAACGGAATGTCTCGCTGTTGCAACACCGACTGTTAAAATAAACACGGTGACGTCAGGCAGCGCAGGGATTGGCCAGAGCAGCTGCCACCGCGTCACAAGCCCAGCCCCCGACGTATGACGCATAGAAAGTGTCTGTAATTTCTTGAGCCTCCGGGAAGTCCTATTCTCACACCCGTGATCAAATCTCCCCGACAATCCAGTGAAATTCAAGTTAAATATAGGTGTTTACAGGATTTCCCAACGACTCGAAACAAATCAACTTTCATTTTCGTTGTATCACAGCAGTCTTCAAATTTTAATCTCATAATTGCACCATTTTATTTGAGAGTATAAACTAAAATATAGCCATCCTACATTCTTTCTATACTTAGCACATGTTCTACATTAATATCACAATCAGTGCAAACTCCCATTCCAGTGGTTCTCAAATTGGAAATGTTTTTAATTAAATCCATTTAGTAGTAATTTTGGCAACCATATCAATAGTACGTCACCTTTATCATATCTTTTTCTGAGGACAGATTAGAAGATCCAGGACTATTTTTCTTTCATGAGAATAAAAAACCCAAGACTATATTCAAGGCCAGTCTGACACACCTAGACCTAACAACACCACTGGTATCACAACAGTTTAAAGGTTTATAGTCCACATTCCCATTCACAGGAAATGCCTGAGCTATGATAAACTCAGCAAAAACCATTTATAAACATGGTAAAATGTCTCATCATGCTTTAAATTGTATGAACTTAGCTATATTAGAAAAAGACAACTGGACAATTCCCAATTTAAACTGTTTTATTAATCCAAAAAGTGTAGAGTTTATGCCACCAGAGCAGAAGCTGTAGAGGACTCGCTGTAAACAGAAAGAAAAACAACATTAGTGTCAGCACTCCTTAAAATTACAAACAGTAAACAGGATCTTACACTTTAACCCCACACTCATCATTTATAGGCAGCACAAAAGCTGGTAATAAACTATTTATAACACACTATCATAGTTTTAATCAGATATTTGCACATTAAGTATGAGTGTGTTACATTTTTATCTGTACTATATCCACAAAAGTCACTTTGTACTATCAAAACTGTTTGTTATACTGCCATTCAATATCTTGTTTATATACCATGCTACACTGAAGATGCTAATGGGATTAGCTCTAGATATTGATTAAATTAACACATCTGTAAGCAACAGCACTGTGTGTTAATTAACTATTTCTTTGGTTTAATATGCTGCTTATACATAATACACAGGGTGACAAACCCAAGAGCTTCAACATAAAGTCAATGGATTTCTTTTTTTATGGTATACTGAAACAACTATTTATCGTTTAATTTGTGAGTTCTGTCCATTCTTGCTTTTGGCCAGGCTGTATCATTTTTGTAATCATTATTTTAAAAAGGGATCAATGATAATCCATGTGTTTGGTTCCACAAATGACCGGAAAATACATAAATAACTTGAATGAAGGTGAAATTGTGTGAAGGGGACTGGCAGAGATGGCACCAAGTAGCCACTCTGCTAATTTACCTCCAGCTTTTTTTCTGGCACAACAGAAATATCACTACTCTTAAAAAACGTGAAGAGCAGGACAATGAATTGTGCAATTTTTACATACATGCAGCTCATTAAGGACAGTTATTGGTGTCATAGAAATGAAACAGATTTTAACTTTGTCACCACTTGTCATACCTTTGCACAGTTACATTGTACGAGCATAATCAAATTCGGGAAAGTGATGCTCGAAACCAAATATAAGAAGGAACAGCAGAACCAATACTTACTACTTCCAGTTGGGGGCCAGTACTCTCTTGGTCTTGTAGTAACGGGCCAGCCTGTGGATCCTGCTCTCAATAAGAATCAGGCGGAACTTGGCATCCTTGTCCTGGAAGTAAAGTAACATTATGGGTATGAAGTCTAACACATTTTAAAATGGCCAAATGTGTGCATCCAACCATGTAAACTCCAATAGTCTTTGCCACAAGCACATTCACCATTGCAGTTTCCTTTTGATTACCATCACATTACGCACTCTTTTGGGAATATAAATAAATAAAATAAATTCAAGGGATATAAAGCATTTCTACTGAAGCACTGTCGAATTTTAGTTTCCATCAATCTCTATATTTTATGACTGCTTTCTCCTCCAAACAGGAGGAACATTTGGTGGCACTTGGAATTTACAGTAACTACTTTAAGGCACCTTGGAAATAGACCTTCTATAAATCCTCACAAAACTGCAGAAAAGTACCTATGATGTCACTCTAACACTGGTGAAACAAATCTAAACATTACTGTTTTCATATCTGACCCAACTAATGGACCGAGCTTTGGCATACCTTTCTGTTTCTCTCCAGATGCTTCCTGACTGCCACAGCCTTCTTGATGAGGTGGTAGAGATCCTCAGGCAGGTCAGGGGCCAGACCCTTGGACTTAAGGATCCTCAGGATTTTGTTACCAGTGACAAAACGTACCTGGGCAACACCATGGGAGTCCCTCAGAATCACACCTGGACAAAGCAACAAACAGGCTTAAAACTTTGTATGTTGCTCACAAACCAGAACTTTTCTTCGTGCATTTGTCATGTCACCCTCTGGATCTATGATCATTATTATTATTGGATTTCATCAAAAATAATAACAAAGAAAACACAAGTAATCTACTAATACTGTTTCAAAAGCACAATTTCAAGGTTTCAAGAACATAGTGTTGAAAAACAAAAATTGAAAACAGAAAAAATTGTGCTGATGCCTGTCTACAAAAACTTTTTTTTCTCCAAACTACATACACTCAAAATGTGTGTGCAAAGGAAGACAAAAACCGTTTAAAACAGTTTTATGCCGACAGTAGCAACTTTTGTAGTTTTTGACTGAATGTCTTTTCTCTGTAGCTTTGCACAGCACAAATTTGCAATGACAGAATATCAAATAACGGTGTACTGTATGTCAGTTATGCCAGTGCTTTGCTGTAACAATAAGAATAATTTTAAAAAATAAGCATGATAACCATAACCCCCTACAAAAACTATGTTGAAATACTGTTTGTTATTTTGTCAAGCCAAGCTGTGACTGTTCTGCTAAAGTAGTAAACTGCATTGATATTTCTGCAAGTGTCACATTTGTGGCTCTACAAGCTATACTGTTCACCTGACATATGAAATATGAGCATACAACAATTGTTTTGTTAGGGGGGAAAAATTATTCGATGGTTTTGGAAGATGTTGGGGTCATTTTGGGGATAATGGAAAGCTCTATAAACTCCAATGTCAGTAATAGTCTCAAATATCTTACATAGTGTAATCATATGTCACCAATGTCTTTAGCTTACATGAACGCACTCAGTTAAAAAATACAGGTCATTTTTGAGATCTGTAATAGACAACTAACTGCAATTCCAGTGTTGGAAAATTAACACTACAAAAATGGATGTTAATTGTCAACTTCTCCCAAATGAAAACTTACCGATCTGAGAGGGAGTCAGGCCCTTTTTGGCCAGCTTAAAGATCTGCTCTTTCACATCATCAGATGTGAGTTTCAGCCACTATAGAAAAAAAAAAAGTTCATATCATTAGCTATCACGCGGGCTCTCCAATAGTTTGCTAGTTATCATTATGCAAAGCTAAAACATAATGCATGTATACTCACAGTGGGAACACTGCGCCTGTAAGGCAGAGCTGACTGGGACAAGCCCTTTCTGTAGAAAAGAGAGAAAAAACAAGTTAGGTGAGCAAAAGCAAATATTACAATCCTGTCAACAGGAAATTAAGAAAACTATTTCTAGAATCTTTTCAGCGTTGACGGGCCGGTTAATGCTAGCTTCATGGTCGTGCTACGGCTACATATTGTGAAATCTAACGTAGTGTTTGGCTAACAGTGCTTTAACTCGAAAAGAAAATGGGTTTAAGTTGGGACTGTCTGACGTATCTATGTCTAATTAGGAAATTACAGTGAGGGAGTAAAATCGTGGTGAGTAGCAAGTATGCTAACTTTGCTAATGCAAGCTAACTGGAGGTGGTGGTCGATTTGACGGTGCGGGTATCTAAGTCAATTTGTCGCTTACAAGGTGAATAAAAGAGCTAATTTCGGTCCTCAGTCAACCAAGACATGTTTATAAGCTATATCTGGCACCTAATACTGACCTACCGAAATAAAAATCTATCTTAAATTGATAAAAAGAGAGCTCACCCGGGAGCGTGCATGCGACCCATGATGGCGGTAGAGGAAGAGAGGCCGCACACGCGACACAAAATGGTATTTTGCGCCTGCGTCGGAAGTGACGCAATGACGCAGAGACGTATTGTTGACGGCGACTTTCCAAATTGTCTTGGCGACTTTTATTTTGTGAACAGCGACTAGCGAATTTTTCTGGTGTTATTGGATACTTGTGGGGTTTTGGACAGTTTGAAGTGAAAGCACGTATCGTTGGGCAGATATTGTCGTCAACGAGCAGTGGGTGCTGTCATGAGCTCCTCCCCGTTCCGAAGCAGTCTCAGGTGGTCTATGGTCAGTAGTCAGGCGCAGCGGTCCCAGCTGCAGTCGGATATGGCAAGCCCTTTTAACATTAAATAGCTAGTCTGGATATGTAATACAGATATCCGCAATTCAATTATTCCTAGTCAAAATGAACACATCAGATATCCACAATGACGTTGTTCCTATCCACAGTTGTAATTACAGATATCTACAACGTAATTCCTCCTAGGACGAATGACATCACTTTCCCCATTGATGTGTATGGGGTTTCTCATTACAGATATCTTTAATTCAAATATGTATGTTACATGGCTGAGGTTTTATACTCAATGTAGAGTGATCCTCAAAACATTTTGTATCTGACTTTTTTGAAGTCAGTGCTGGGTGAGGTACAGTTGGTCATCAAGGCTTTTGAGGGAGCGCAGACACATCCTCTTAAACTTCTTGACAGTTTGATAAGCCTGATAAAGTCTGAGTTGCAGAGTGCAGCATCCACTGGCAAACACTGATGTACTCGAAGAGCCAATTGATGGATACATCAGTCCCAAACCATACGTGGTTACCTTCTTGATTCAAAGGCACCTGAGCTACACACAAATGAGCTGAGGGTGAGATTGCCGAACAACACTGAAGCAGTACGGTTCATGTCCGTTTTTAATGTCGAGGAAACTATACAGCA